ATCCGGCTATACCCTTTGCAGAATTTCACTGAAAATAAATGTTTTAACGAAAAATTGCTGAAATGATAATGAAATTGGGTCAATTGCAAGAGATTTTCAACCAAATTTCAGTAAATTTCATTACGGTTTCAACAAAATTTTTCCATCAGGGATATGTTAGATAGCTTTCAATAATATATGTTTTAGAGATTACATACGAAATATTTCTCTGAAATGTTTCGTAATATTTCTAAGAAATAGAAACATTTATAGAAATAGAAAAATAGAAACATTTCAGAGAAATATATTTCGTAATATTTCTGAAATATTTCAATGAGAAGGATCGTAAATGATTTCGATAAAACATTTCAGAAATATTTCTGAATGATTTCTATCTTACATTTCACTATTAATTTCCAAGTTATATGTTGGATAGCTTTCAATAACATATGTTTTAGAGATTACGTACGAAATATTTCTCTGAAATGTTTTGTAATATTTCTGAAATATTTCAGTGAGAAGGATGATAAATGATTTCGATAAAACGTTTCAGAAATACTTCTGAATGATTTCAATGTTACATTTCAAAATTAATTTCCAAGGTATCTTTTGGAAAGCTTTCAATGACATGTGATTTTGATGAAACGTTTCAAAGATATTTCTGAATGATTTCAATTTTACATTTCAATATTAGTTTCCAAGTTATCTTTCGGAAAGCTTTCTGAAACTTGTTTTGCTGTGTGGGATATAACAAATGATTCGTCGATCGATGTCAAAACGATGTCGAATCGACGTCAATTTGACGGTATCGATGTCGATTCGACATCGTTTCGACATCGATCGACGAATCATCTCTCACGGGGGATTGCGCAGTTTTGACGGTGGGATGTTCAATCTCTGTTTTTCGCATATATAAAAAAAGTATTTCATATCCGCAGCTTTTCACGGTATCTTGCAATATCGGCGTTCAGTACATACGGCAATGTTTAGTATCTCCCTGAGCGACGTGAAAGCGTTTCCCATGATCTACCCCGTTGCTCGGCGTCGAACGGCCGCCATCGGAGCCTCCCGACGCGGCCGCGCCGCGCGGCGCGTCGCCGCGATCGCGCGAGTTCGAATCGCGCGGCTCGAGTCTACGCGAGCGAGCGCCGCGCCGCGTCCAGTGGCCGAGCGGATGGCAGTGGAGTGGGAGTGTGTCGATCGTGCGTGCCGTGATGGACGAAGTGACGACGAGCGGTAAGGTTTTCGTTCTCGCGGCGGAGAAACGGCGCCGTGACACCACGGCCCGGGGTGCGCGCGACGCGTCGCGACGACCGCACGCGCGTCGCGACGACGGCCCGCCGCTCGACGGCTACGTCGACGCTCGACGCGTCGCGCATCGCGTGGGCGTCCTACCTTCCGTGTGCGTGTCTCGCTCGCTCTCTCTTTCTCTCCCTCTCCCTCTCCCTCTCCCGCCCCCCGTCTTTCTTCCCGTTGCCCACGCTCCGCGTTATGATAAAGTTTACTCGCGCGTTCCGCTCGCGTTACAACTCCCTCGCGACGATCCTCGCCCGTCGCGGCGCGAGACGCCGCGCGGGCCGCGCGCGTCACGCTCCGAGCCTCTGACTCCCCGTCAGCTGCTCGCTCGCTCGCTCGCTCGCTCGCCCGCGCCCGCCCGACGGTCGATGTCAACCGCGTGATTCACGCTTCCTTCCCGAGACACGTCCCTCGGCCGCCCGCCTGTCTTTTCGTACGGGATGACCACGCGCGTGCAATTCGTCGGTCGATACACGCCTGCGAAGGACATTCTTGCGCATGAGTGCATAATGTTTGGTACGATTGCGGAAGCGTAGGATCAACAAACGTTGCCGATACGATTGTGTCTCTTCCCGTGTCCTCCCGCCGCGATTTCCGAGGGACGGTTGTTGTCTCTTAACGCGGCACGCGACGCCGTGCTGTATTTAGTAATAATTAAAAAGTGGCGATTGGAAGGAGCCGGGCTTGTTTGTTAAATTACGCACGCACGCACGCACGCACGCACCTGCCCATCATTTATAATTGTCATCTTGCAGACCCAGGAGGTGGGGAAAATAGAGTGACGTTAATATGCGCCGGCTGCCTCAACGCTATCGAGGATGAATTTATACAAGCGTTGAACCAAGAATGGCACATTGATTGCTTTCGGTAAGGAGACACCGACGCGCGTCTCTCGACGAGTCACCCGTTGCATTGTACAATACTTGTGTGTAAAGAGAGAAATACCTTGCAGATGTTCCGCGTGCGATATCGGCCTGTCCTCCTGGTACTTTGAGAAAGATGGCCTGCTGTTCTGCAAGGACGACTACTGGGCCGCTTACGGCGAGGCGTGCCAGGACTGCGGCCAGATCATCACGGGCCCGGTCATGCTGGCAGGCGACCACAAGTTCCACCCGGAGTGCTTCGCCTGCACCTCGTGCGGCGCCTTCATCGGCGACGGCGAGAGCTACGCGCTCGTCGAGCGGTCCAAGTTGTACTGCGGCGTTTGCTACAAGCGGCAGATGCAGCCGCTCAACCGGGCGGCCAACTACCCCTTCGCCCGAAAGCCGCACAGCATCAGGCTGGTCGAGATACCGCCCAGCACGACGGACCCGGACAAGCAACGGGGAATCAAGCTCACGCTGGACACAGCTCCCAGTCCCCGCAGTTGTGGCGCTTTGTTGCGCATTTCAGAGTACGTACGGCGGAACATGCTTCGTGTATAATAAACTTAAAGTAAGACCCCTGACTAAAACTGAACGGCGTATGAGAAAACGCCAACGTGGGTTGCGAGGCAAGATGTAGGTAGCCCAAATTGTAATTTTTAGATTTTAAGCATTTCATTTCATACGTTACCTTACGAGAATGCAGTTTATACATGTAAACGAAATGTCTCAGAACCAGTTTGAAATTTAGATACATGCAAGCGACGATTGTCGATTATGATAAAGATAGAGCATTCCGGTCTCTTTGCTCCCCAGGATTATACATCTAAGACAATTGCTTTTTTTTAAGTATTTAACAGCGCATGATAGCCCTATTTATTTAAGAGAGTTGGTATAAATGTATATCAGCCTAATAACATTTAACTAAAACGCAGGTTAATGAGAAATATTCGTGGAAAGATCAGTAAGCTGCTAGCCTCTGTGATGGAGGTTCTATTTAGGCTATGCTGCCACTTCTCTAATCATAGGTATTGCATAACAAATCAATAATATGCACCACGTATCGCTAGCTCTACGGACTGTCCTCCCCTTTTAGTAGTTGTATTAATTGCACGTGAAAATGTATAAAATACCTTTGTGCAATTTTCCATAACATGTGTTACGTACTAGTCCTCTTAATACACCGTTTGATTGGATATAATTGTCGTTTTTTTAATCACGTGCATGCTCAATGTTGCAAAAAATGACGGTTCGTGTTGTTGGAATAAACTTGGATAATTGCTAAAGGATTGCAAGTGTCAGCCGCTTTTACGCACGTCATCTTTTGAACGTACAATGAATCTGGTGTGAGCCATTTTGTGATTTAACTACAAACGAATGGTTAACGTGATACCATTTCTGGTATCTTTCTAAGCTTCCTGATAGATTTCTGTATTTAATTTTACATAATTTGTATATAGGAGTAAACTTTGTATTATGTAACAAAATAATTGCGACTAAGAAATTTCAGTTGCGTTCTAACACTTCGCGTAGGCAACTTTTGATAACGAATACTTTTGTAATATTTGCTTATCAGTCTTATTAACGATGTTTGAAGTTATCTCATCATCCTGGGTTGTTTCCAATTGTCTCTGTATATGATTGTGTTACAGTGGAGGAAAGTGTAATGCATGCAAATGTCTGCATGGTCTTATTATTGCAACTTAGGTAGCGGCAATAAAGGTATTGGTGAAACGAATGTTGCAGATTGAATATGTCGAGCGATCTTATATCGTTACACATTGGCGATCGAATCTTGGAAGTAAATGGCACCCCCGTTAAGGACCAGCCGGTGGAAAATATCGAAAATCTCATACAATATTCGGATACAGTTTTACAAGTAAGTCGAAGGAACGTTTTTCGAAACATATGTATTGTCTTATTAGCATAGTCTGCGGTTAAATTGTACGTGAATATATTCGGCGTTTCAGTTGACTATCGAGCACGATCCAGATGCGGTATCGCGACGGCCCGCGTTCTCCTCACCGTCCTCGGCGATGCTGACGTGCGTCGGCAGCCCCAGGACAAGTCCCGAGAGCAAGGAGCGATTGTTCAAACGCCGGGACGAGGGTTACATCAGCGGTGCGCGGAGCCGACAATTACGAAGAACGAGAGATCCTATGCATAAAGAGCGCAGCAGTTCTATGTCGCGATTGCTTGACGGGTAGGAAGATGAGCGCGAAATATATTCGGCGATCGTTTAGTAAATTACGATGCGGTACACTAAATCGAATCCATTGCATCCATTGCAGATCTTCTCCAACGAATCCTACCTACGATTTAAGCCGCACCAGATCCTTCCGTGTGGAGCCAAAGAATCAGAGAATATTTCGAGCGAGCGATCTGGTGAAGGGTGAGCTCCTGGGCAAAGGATTCTTTGGACAAGTATTCAAAGTCACGCATCGCGATACGGACGAGGTGATGGTTCTCAAGGAATTGTACAGAGTGGACGAGGACGCACAAAAGAACTTCCTAAAAGAGGTAAACTTTTCTTAATGCAAATCGTACAAGATTAACATTGCGCAAACCAGATAAAAGAATTCGAATATGTTTAATATGTGAACAACTAAGATGTTGAAATGCTGAAGATTTTGCATCTCCCGAGCATTTCGGTACTAAATAGTTGTTCGACTTGACTGATCTCGTGCATTCTTTTTTGTAATAACAATTCAATAGGTTGCGGTACTGCGGTCATTACACCATAACAACGTTCTTCGATTTATCGGCGTTCTTTACAAGGACAAGAAACTGCATTTGGTTACCGAATACATAGCAGGTGGTACGTTAAGGGCCCTGCTTCACGACACGAACGAACCATTGCCGTGGGAACAGCGCACGTCTTTCGCGAAGGACATCGCTGCCGGCATGGCCTATTTGCATTCTATGAACATCATTCATCGCGACTTGAATTCGCACAATTGCCTCGTGCGCGAGGATAAGACTGTTGTCGTCGCTGATTTCGGTCTGGCGAGGATCATTCAGAATGGCAGCTCGCCGGACAATCGCAAGTACAATCGACATTCCGACGGAGAGGTGAAGACTTCGAAGAAGGAGCGGAAGAAACGATATACGGTTGTCGGAAATCCCTACTGGATGGCCCCCGAGATGATGAAAGGCAACAAATACGACGAGAAAGTAGATATATTCAGCTTCGGCATTGTTGTCTGCGAGATCATAGGTCGAGTTCAGGCAGATCCTGATTATTTACCGAGATCCTCGGATTTCGGTTTAAATCAAAATGTCTTTAAGGAAAAATTCTGTTCCAATTGTCCGGAGACCTTCTACATGATCGCGTTTCTTTGCTGCGATCTGAATCCCGACAAGAGGCCGCCGTTCGAAGTTATGGAGGTCTGGTTGGAAGGACTGGCGATGCATTTGTCGGTAGGCGCCGAATTGCCAGCGGATCTCGACTTCGACATCAGGAATTACAAAGGACCGAGTCCGAGCAGCAGCGAGTCCACGACTCCGGAAACTCTGGCGCCGCAATTGAAGCCTATTAAGGAGGGACAGGTGCACCAAGAGAAAAAGCGACCCAGCTGCTGTAACGATAGTACTCTGGAACGTGAAACGGAGCCATCGTCAGGTAACACGCTTCACGTGCCCGAAGTCGTGAGTCCGCGTAACAGATATACGAGACAGAATAGCAAGAGCAACGACAGCTCGGGTAACGTGATTTACGCGAGGCAAAATTCCAAATCAAAAGACTTTGTGTCCGACAAGGAGAAGCCTGACATCGTGATCTCACCCGATTCCAGCGGTTTCAGTGGACGGTATCTGAGGAATAACAATATCAAATCGAAAGACACGCCTCCCGACATTCCAAACACCTATGCTTACTCGAAGCAGGAGACTTATCCACGGCAGATTGACGCGAAGGAGCATAATCTGACCCGAGTGCCCACCGTGGAGAAAATCAAGTACGTGGGAAGCGCGAGTCCGTGTGTAGTATCCGACGCTTCGGAATACATAATCGATAGCAAAGGCTCGTACAAGATCAACAGCCTGAAGCACAAATCGGCGGAGAAGTGTAGTGACACGAGTGGCCACCACAAGACAAAGTCGGAGAGCAAATTCAAGATACCGGATGCCGCGGGCTCCGTTGGTTCTTATCTTAAGCAAATCGGTAAATCTATCGGCGCTGTGGAGAAGGAAAATAAAGCGGTTAACAATACGGCAAATTGCGGTGATGTCGATCCGAAGAGAGTGGTCAGTGAAAACGCGAAACCCTCTACTGGATCGTATCTCCGAAGGACGAAAATATCGCCGACCAAGGAGACATCAAAGAACGCGTTTTCCAGCAAAGAGACCGTCAAGGACAAAGTTGATGGCGTTTCGCCTGTGCAGAAAGAGTTGAAAATCCCACCGAGCCAAGAGAACGTCGTGGGAAACGAGAAGGACGTTAAAGATAGATTGTCCAGGCAGGAGAGCAGCGTGTCCGACGTCGGCAGTATTTTGTCGAGACAGGGAAGCCTCACAGTATTAGATTGCACGTCCAAATACAAAGATTACTCGCCGTTCAATACCTTCACGCAGGATGACTTTCGCGAGGCTCATTCCTTTGGAAAGCAACACTCAGGCCTGTATCATACGGACAGTCTCTATTCGAACTCCAGCATTTCGAAGCAAGACGACCTTTTCAGTATACATAACAAACAAAATAGAAGCGACGACGTTGTTGGAACCAGATCGATGGGCAACGGCCCGAAAAACCCTGCGTCTATTTACGGTAGCGATTTGAAGGCGACGCCTAGCAGTCTGGTCGAGTACAATGGATGTTACAAGGGCATCGACATCTGCAGGCAGGACAGTTTCGGTTCCGACAGCGCGCTCGGCACTATGAAGAGCGACTTCTTCGCGGACGTCGATTTCGCGCAGATGAGGGATGCTCACACGTCAGACTTGTGCCGTACACCTGAAAGATGCTGCACGCCTAATCGTCCGACGTCGCCGATAGAAAGCACTGCTTTGTAAATCAAAACGCGCGCGTGCGCGACAGCAAGAGAATAATAGTTTAGAGTCGAGACAACGCGCGTAATCCCCGACGATAAATGAATCCCATTTGTTACTAATTTGATCTCTTTATTCATAATTCATAAACTTTACTCGACGAGGTCCGAACATGTATAACGTGCTTAGTTTGCAGTATTAACTTTTTTAGCCAGAGTTTACTTCGTCCATTACCTTTAGTGCATTGAGCGAGGATAAGTTGAATTCGTATGTTAACTTTAATGAGCGCAATATTTTGAGAGTACAATACTTTGTTTTGAAAAATTTTCCTAAGAAGGAGCGAGATAGTTTTACGTTGTTGTTGAAATCGAGTTTGAAATTTTAAAAATTGGATATGTGCAAGAACGCCAGACGCAGAGCTTCGGGCTGGAGACGTTTCCGTGAAATGTAAATCAAAATGTTGTCTTGCTGAAAAAAGTAATGATAACGCGACACTCACAGTATTAACGAATTTTATTTGCTGATTTATACGAATTTTTAAGTCGTAACGACGTCAGCTAATTATAGCCGTAAGGATTCTATTACATTCCTAGGAGATCTTGCCACGCGGTTTTCGAACGTGGGAGCTTAGGCGTTTAAAAAAAAAAGAAACGCGGCTCCCCGACAAAAGCCATTCCATCCAAAATAATACTTTATAGAGCCGGGATTTTGATAAGTACGATATTACTAGTGTGCTCGAAAAAGAAAATAAAAAGCGTCACTGTGAATACGTCGATTTTGCAAATCACACTACAGAATCAAAAGCCGTCAAAAGTACGAAGTACGAAGTTAGAAGTTAAACATTTTGACTTTTGTAAGTTGCTTGCAAAATACGTTTCTCCCCCCCTGAGACTACACGATCACGTACGTTTCCCTTGAATTACGAATCACACGTCATGTAGACTCGCAATCAGTTCTTGTAGAATAGAGGATGTAAAAAAAATGGTGTTATATTTGTTTCAGGGCATACAGATGTACATCACAGTGTAAAATATTGTATACGTTTGTAATACTGCTGTATATGTACAGATCGATTGATATATGTATGTATACATACGTGCATATAAATATATGTATACATATACGTGCGACGTTTATATCTTCGTTACGTCGGCGTGCGACCGTTTTCGGTATACTCTGATGAGAAAAGATTATGTGTATATTGAAAATGCGAATTATATTTATGGCATTCTCTTCGCTAGCTTCTCTCTCGACGTTATTACGCTTCTTCTGTCTTTTTCTAACGAGGATATAAACGATGGCAGAGTAGTAAATATCGTGTGTATAAAAGAACAAATGATTTGTATATAAGTTTGTATATATCCAAGTAATTTGTAATTTTCAGAACACACCGATCGAGATATTTGAGTAACAATAAGTTTTATACTCGCGACGTAGGTACGCAACTAGTTTTTCCTTCCCATATATTCTATTCCGAGATACAATATATTGCCGTTCTTTTTTCCCCCTCTTTTTTTTCTTTAAATCGCATGTCGAGCATAATTCATGACGTTTAGGCGAAATTACATGCTTACACGAATGCAGTTCGAGGCAGCAATTTTAATACTTATAATTTCATCACGTTTTGTTTTCGTCCAATCACCAACCGGATCATTTCACGTTAGATCGCATGCAAGTAATACGACCCCCACTTTTCTCCCACCAGAAAATAAGTTTTTCTCGACGCAGTTATACGTTGATTAATATATTGTTTTGAAAATAAACGTTTATTACTTATATAATAACGGCGTTCTCAAATTGTTTGCACGTTTCACGCGACTAGCCCTCTCGCGATCGTTTCTTTTTCTGTTTGCCCTTGAGGCCGCAATTGGATGCACGAAAGGAGCCCAATCAAACAGCCCCCGACCCTTTACCTCTCCTCGTGTGTATGACATGTAGAGGGAATATTATCGCTAAATGTTACTCGACGGTATCGCGAGCGTTTATCTCAGCGTAGAACGAATTCCAAAGTATCGCTAAATCGCGTGTCCGGCGGTTAGAGGCCGGACGTTATCTGCAATAATTGTACGGCTTGCTGTATGTACACGGTAGAGCTAGCCTAAGGGATTATTCACGGCTTGTCATTAATTAATGAGAGCAAACTAATTAGCGGATCTAGGGTAGAGTGCTTCGTGAAAGTGCGAGATTGCGTCGCGTGGGAAGGAAAGGAAAGGACTCGCGCTTCCCCGCCGGCCCGGCACGCGGCCGTCCGATCCCGATTCCGCGGTGCTGCGCGGCGATCAGCGCACAGCATCCGATTGAACGGGATGAGGAGCGGACAGCCGTGGACGTGTTCCGGCAGCGAGCGGAGGGAACGTTGGTCGGATAGATACATAAATGTCGGAAGGCGTATACGTCGGTCTGCAAATATGCATAATCAAATTGTCACGGGTCGTTTGCGTCTTTCGCTGACGCGAGAGCGGGATGCGAGGAGACGGACGTTTTATTCCCCCGATAGGAAAATATTTAGAGAATTGTGTGACGAAATCTGGATGGAACTTGCTGAATGCTGGAATTACGCGTACATATTTCGAACAACATATGCATAAATAGAGATCTTTCAGCTAATATTGATAAATATTTGCACAATGTATTTCTAAATAGTACGCCAGCAAAAACACAGCTGCGTTTCCCTAGCAGAAAAAATTTCTATAAATGACTACGAAAAATTGACTTGAAATTTGTAGAAATTTTTATATCTTCGTTGAAACATTAATTTTTTTTGTAAAAATATCTACGAAGTAGTATCACAAATTACAATGTTCTCAAATTATTGCAAGTAGTATTTCATAAAAATGTACAACTTCGTAAAAATTAGTACAAAACTTTGCTAGTTTTAAAAATTTGAGACACAACAAAATCTAAAAGATTTAAAACATACGCTTGTAGAATATTACAAAAATTAACAAAAGTTCCAATTCTAGCATTTTTATGTTGATTTTTATAACACTTATTACACGTAACTGTGTTGCTGGACAATTTTGCTTCTAGATGTTGAAATAATTGTGCACGATTTATCCCCTAAATTAAGATTATCAATTTTTGAACGAAAACTTTAGAAATTGTATTCCCACAAAACCGCTGCGTTTTGGCGAATCACCTTGATGTCAACCCTTGTGAAATTTCCTCCTTTTGGATGATGCAGTTATTACACAATATTTGGCGCGTTTTCCTATCGGGGTTGTAACGCGTCGCGCGGGGATGACAGTATTAACATTACTCGCTATCGTATTGTCGCTTGGTAGTGATGTGTACGTTTTGCTATCGTAACTCCTTAACACAGCGGGCACAAAGATCGCGTCGAGACCTACAAAGAGATATCTGGAACGAGTAAACGTTATTTTTATAGCCCCTGTAAATCTTTGATAGCCGACACGACCACCGAATAGATTGATATACGGGGCGCCCGGGTCATTAGCGGCTCGTTAATTCGTAATAACTAATTAAGGCTGTAATGACGGGGCGCCCTATATAATCCCCGATCGTTAATATTTTTCTTCTCTCTCTCTCTCTTGTAAATCGATTCGTTTACTGATACGTAGTCTCGAGCAAATATTTTTTATAGACTCGTAGAGAGAAACTCTAATGTCTAATTGACGACATAATTTTGTAAGGGAAAGATATTCTTGTAATTGTTGGCCTAATTTTGCATAGAGCCCCGCGGTAATTTTTCATCGCTACGCAACTTCCGACTCGGCAATCAAAATACGAATTGTTTTTTTTCCTCTCTTACACAAACGCGCGGGTCCGATTTAAACGTTGCGCCGCGAGGCACAACGCTCGTCTCGTCGCACGCGATATTTTGGGTCTCCGTTTAACGCAACACTCGTCTAATTAACATCGCCGCGAGCAGGCGAACATCGGGAAATTTAGCGCGATGCGAACGGATTGCCCGGATTTGCGGCGGGAACAACGAAAGAAAGGGAGAAGCGCGGCCTCTCGCGAGGGGAAGGTTTTCGCATCCGCGCTCGAGATCATCCCGGGATCATCGGATGTTCAAACGGGAGCGATGATCGCGCCATCGGCTATGTACGAGACTGTTGTATGTTGTTTTACGCGAGTTTCGCGAGCGAGGTCGGAGATGCGATTTCGAGACACTTGGCCGCCGTCGCGGCGAAACGACGTCGATCGTCCTCGAGGACGATCGTTTCCACATCCGCGAGCGGAGAACGAACAAACGTTTTTCTTTTTTTTTCCTTTTTTTTAATACCACTTTCAGTGCGTATCCGTTACCTGTGAAAGTCCACGAACTTTGAGTTTTCGCGCGGAGTTCCGTATGTGGGACAAGTGTTTCATTTAACATTCCGATAACTTAGTGAAACAAAAAAAAATACAAAATAAACCGTTGACAGTATCTGATGCGTTCTGTTTAAGCCCGTGTTAGACTATCGATCGATCGGATCGAAATTGAGATTAGAGTAAAATTTGATCAATCCGAGCAAAATTCACTAAGCTTGAGATTAGTGAACTTTGCTCTGATTGGTCAAATTTCAATCTAATCTCGATCACGATCCGTAGTCTGACACGGGATTTACGATCGTCCTTTCTCGACTAGTTTTAACCCAAGGAGAAACAAAAAGTCAGGATGATGTCAGTTTGATAAATTTGGCCAAATTGACATCATCCTGACTTTTTGTTCTCCTTGGGAACATGTATAGTTTTAAGAGGATCCTAAAGTCGTCTGTTTTACCGACACATTCGAATGTAGTTTTTGCGTTGGCAAATCTTTTTATTATAGCTTTTATGCACAAAATAATGCCAGGATAAGTTGCGGACCGCATAGCAGAGCATTTTCATACTTAAAACACTCAAGTCAGAAGTCTATAGTGAAAAAGATATTGGTATTGAAATTTTCAATTTTTTCAACTTGAGCAATTTGAAATTGGCTTTATAAAATTGCAAAATTCTTCCACATGATTATAGAACGCACAAAGCGGGGGGCTCGTGTACGTTTCTGTTATACATTTCTATAATATTGTCGAAGTATGTCTCGTACAAATTGCATAGCCAGTGAGAACTGATTCGCCGAAACGATGTCGACTCGGCATCGTTTCAACATCAATCGATGAGTCATTTCTCGCTGGGGCCGGAATCGGAATTCCGAGACCGTGCGTTTTCAAACGGTCCTACGACGGTATTGAAAATTTATAAAGCATTCACGCGGCGGCACAGCCGCGCGTCGCGCTCTCGATTAAATATTTCAATCTACGCTCTTCTCGTCGCGGCGTTAGTTACCGATCGGTAAGTACGCGCGACGCAGTTCCGCCGCGCCGCCGGCGGATGGCGCCACCCACCGCTCTCGCATGACCGAGCATATCGCGCTGCATTGCCGCGACTCGCGACGCGGAGTTTCGCGGAAACGCTGTGCAAAGATTTGCTTATCGGGAATAAATTTCCGGAACGTTGGGCGTCGCGACGACACCGGCGACCCGGTCGGCGGAGCGAAACGACGAGAAGCATTTTCTCCACCTCGCCGAAATCCGCCCGCCCGAGGTAGGAAAATGTTCCCGCTATACTATATATCGGAAAAGGCGCGTTCTTTGTCCGAAAGAATTCCTTTGTATACGGGCTTTCTTCGACGGGCGGGGAGAATTGTTTTAACCACGGAGACCGGGTCCGCGCACAAAAAACGTCTGCACGGGGCGGTTTTTTCTTTCCCCCTTCGAAAACTGATATCGCGCGGGCATGTGACTCGCGGATACACGCCCCGAACGTAGAACGCGCGGGTGCGCACGGCTTTGAAACTGCCCGTTCGGAGCCTTGGAATTTGAGAAAGTCGAGACAATAGGCCCCCGACACGCTGCACTCGAGTTCAGTGGAGATTTTCTGGCCTGAAAATCGGTCGACTGCCCGCAGGTGAGAAATAAATTACAGCCTGAGGCAGAGAACGACCCGTAGGCGCTTAAGGCCCGGGCTTCGCCAACGTCGCTTAACGTTAAGCCTAGTTTAATTCGTTTCTCGTGTCCTTTCGCCTGTTACTTCAGAAAGAGACAAACACGAATTAAACTCGCAAGATCAAAGTTAAACAACGTTTGGCGAAACCGGGCCCAAGTCTGTCGAAGGCATGAGATACCATTTTTCCTTCTGGATCGCTCGCGGGAGCCAATCAGGAGTCAGCTTTCAGCAAGTCAACCCGATCTGAAACTCTGCGTCCTCATTGGCTCTCGCGGGCAATCCAGTATGGAAAAATAGTGTCGCGTGCCGTCGGCTTTAGTTGTAGACGTAATGTAACGCAGAGAAAAACTCAAGTCGCGGACTTTGACGACTCGAGTCCCCGGTGAGAAATAATTTGTCGAGACGACGCGACGTCGACTCGACGTCGACGCTGCCGGATCGACGGTCGATTCGATCATCAATTTGACGGTGTCGATGTCGACGCGACATTGCTTCGTCGTCGATGGACGTGTCATTTCTCTGCCTTGCCCTACGTTTATGACTAATTGCAAGACGGACACGAGCGTTCACGGATCGTTCTCTGCCATCGGCCTAATTCGCTCGGCGGGGATCAACGTCGGCGAGTCACTCGAGTCGCGTCGACGGCCGCCGATCGCCTTCCCGATCTCATTGTCCCCCAGGGGGCGGTGTCGCCCGTTACGCGAGGTCAGTGGTTCAAACGGCGCCCGGCGCGTTCGCGAGGATTCGGCCGCGGGTGAAGAACGACCTCGAGGACGCGGCCGACGTTTTCTCGCAGCGGAAAAAGCGCGTCGGCCGGGAAAACGTCAGTTTCTCGCGCTTCCTCGCC